GGACAATAGCCTTAAGACATCTTGATATACCTTGAAATACTCTAAGACTCTCAGGAGCATTCTGTTTTCAGAATCATTTCCAAATAATGCTGCCCTTATAACGGGAGGTCGGTCATATATATGAAGCCTATACACTATACAGCTACCACTACCAGCACTGATAGCGGCGCAAACATTCAGTCCCGGTACCAGCACTAATACCTCGCTAGTCGCTATGAGATTGAGTGGTGTAAGAGGAAGGACTAGGGGAAGAAGAAAGTTGTAGAAGGCTAATAATATAACTCTAAATTTAAAAAAAAAAAAAAAAAAATGCATTAATGCAGAGGTTAAGTTAACATTAGCCATTAATTGACCATGTAAGTAGTAGGCTGATTCAGCGTCGACATATGCTTGCTTGATTACGCGTTAACATTATACGATTATGCAAGAAAAGTGGTTTGCCCACGTATTTTTTGTAAAGCATCTGCTACTAATAATATTCTATTAGTAAGCTTGTAGAATAATCAACTGTACCAGCTAAGTTGTACAAGTAAATGAAGTTATCCAATCTTCAAATCTCTAATTTACGGTATGTGTTTAAGGTAAGGGTGAGGTTTTGGTGTGTGAAACGCCTATACAGGTATTAGATAAGTCAAGCAAGTCGGATTAGAATTCCATTGAATCTAAATTATAATCAAAATTATGATAATTAAAGACCAATATTATGACATTACGGAGTATTCTTAGCACATACGTGATACGTGCACAAACACATACATCACAATTGACAAAAATTAAGACATAACTCGTACTCCTATAAGTTAAGTGAGGCCATCAAAAAGAAAAAAATATTTATATACTGGTAGTTCATATAAGCCAATAAGGCAACTAATTATTACGAGTAGATATTTATCCTCGACTAACCTCAAAAACCACAACTTTTTCACAATTAAACAAAAATCTAAAATCTATGGGGTGTGGTCCTTAAACTCCATGGAGTTGGATAAACAGACCAAAGACTCAAGGTAAAGATCTACCAAATCCTGAAAGATACAAATCAATAAATAGTGCCATAAACAATTATACAACCCTTCATTCATTATGTTACGTGTACTTTTTAATTCAATACGACGTATATAAAAATAAAAAAGAAAAAAACCGTCACTTAATTATAACGCCGACGCTCCTTAATATCACCAACGTCTCTCCCATGTCCCGCATAGTATATACTTTCACGTTGACTAAAATGGGGGCAAACTATTTGTAAAATGTAACAGAAATATAAAATATCCCAACAAACAACCAATCATATCTGTCATACTCTTATTCCTTTCCTTTCCCCACAAATTATTCTCTCGCTTTTTTTCTTTCTTTCTTTCTTTCTTCCTCTCTTTCACCAAAAACAGAAGCATTAGCTACCTGATTAAGAAAAGAAAGAATGGGAAACGCCTTAAGATTTCTCTACAAGAATTGCTGTCAGCCTTCAACTACAGACTCACACCCGCACGGCCACCACCACGGTGTTCCTACCCAAAGCGTCGGAGTCTCCGCCCTTGCACAGGATCTCCTCCACTTTGAGGCCACATCCCAGGTATGGGATCACCAAGAAAATTCAATTCAACTCATCTGAGATGTAAAAAAAAAAAAAAAAAAAAAAAAAAAACAGATTTTGGTACAATGAATCAGGTGAAGAAAATAGAGTGGTTGGTTTGATGTTGATGTTTTAATCTTCAGGTACCGGAAGGGCTCGGTAAGCATGTTGTATCGTCGAAGAAAGCTCAATCTAACTGGTAAGTATCACCATCCAACTACATAAGCTGTTAAACTTAATTATAACATCCAGGTGCTTCAGTACTTCAGATTTGATCAGAAAAAGTCAAACAGATTCTACAAGAAATATGTACTGTATTTTCCTAATCTTGATCCTGACTAATATCTAATTGACGTACCAAGACTCGTACGTCAGGATGTACACAGCTTTACTCTGACTAGACAATAGTTTTAGAGAATCTGATTCTGAAGGATCTACACTTCTACAGGAGACTGTCATTTCTGCAATGTAGTCGAATTCGAAGGGAAAGTTGATATGCTCTTTCCCATGATCAAATTCCACAATTCTGCTACCAATGTCTCCCTCCCCAAGCCCACCTACCCAAAATACTCGCCACATTCGGCGTTGATCATAACACACAAGCAAGTCTTGGGTGAAACTGTTTCATACTATTTCTTATGATACTATAAGATATAGCCTAAAAAACTGGGAAGTCATTCATAAAATTTCTTTACTAAAAAAGGGGGAAGGCATATAATTCATATGAGATTTTATCGCTTAGGTACAGAAAACTTCTACAAGCATGGAAGGAGGCCAAGCCCCCACCAAGAACCCCAGAGGATACAGCAAGGCTCGTCACTGCGACCTTGAAAGGACACCAGAAAGCGGACGTGGAGGTAAGCTCCACCGCCCCAAGGATTTTCTTATAAGCATGTGTTAACGAAATGAGACAGCATACAAGAAAATAATTCTAATTTGGGGTAAATATTATTTGAGCAGGGCTTACTTGCCTACTACAACCTGCCTCATCCTCACACGTTAGTTGATCTCCCTACTGGAGCGCCATCTGCATACCCTGGTGGGGTGAAGTACGAGCTCCATACTTTACCGGTAAGAACCTTTCTCTTGCTCTTTTGCTCCAAATTGATAATGCAGAAAGATTTTACCTGAAAATAAAAATAAATGGATGGACACAGGTGGATGTGAAGGCAGTAGCAGACGGAGATACCGTAACTGTATATGTAAGTACTGCGGATCCTCGGGAGTCATATTCAGTTCCTAAAGAAGTGCAGGTTGCAGCAATTGAAAGAGCAAAGGCGCGTGCTCAGAAAAATTATCCTAAGGCCGATGCACTCCATAAGAAAATAATCGATCAGAATTACAGGTATTTCCAGATCTTTATCTAATCGTATCACATCTCAAAGAATAGGAAACTCATGAAGTTTTTTTTTTTATTGTCACAGGGTTATTCCTGTTCAAAATGAGGAGGTTCTAGCTAAAAAGTACCGAATTCGATTGAGGTACTATAAATCATGATAAAATTCCCTTAGTACAACTCAAGTTTCATCTACCAAATTTGTAATGCCTATGAAAAGAATTCAGGGGAATAGATGCACCTGAGAGTGCAATGCCGTATGGGAAGCAGGCAAAAGAGGAGCTAGCAAATCTTGTACAAGGAAAGAGCTTAAGGGTTCTCGTTTATGAAGAAGACCGGTATGGTCGTTATGTAGGGGACATCTACTGCAATGGCATATTTGCACAGGTACATCACTCCCTTGCCATTATCCTGTAAAGCTTATCACTCTTTCATGGAAAACTATGTCTTAGTCTTAGGAATGTGATATTAGTTAGTGTACTCATTCACCTTAGTTATGACATTATTCCATACCTCCAAAATTTATCGATTCCACCTTATCATCACTCTCATATCAGGAAGTGATGCTGAAGAAGGGATTAGCATGGCACTACGCAGCCTATGACCGCCGTGCAGAGCTAGCTAATGTAAGAAACAAAAAAAAAAACATCATATTGTCAATTTACTCTGCTTGTATCCAAACTCTTACACTCAAAATGTACATAATGATAATTGATACAGTGGGAGAAAGAGGCACGTGCTAAGAGGGTAGGGCTATGGGCTTCGAAAAATCCGGAGGAACCATGGGAATGGAGAAAAGACCGACGTGAAGGAAGATAGATTAAACACAGTGAAAGTGATGACCAAATTACAAATCCTCAGCTTCAATGGAAGCAGTATGAATGAAGACAGAGAAATAATCAGAAAAGCATTAATGTTGTACAACATTGGTTTTGTTGAATAATATGTATATTGTACATCAGTGTATATGTTTATCAATTACTCCTGTATTTTAGCAGTATCAATACAAGGAAATTAAAACTTCCAGCCAACAAACTTACCATTTCTATCAGTACATTACATATTTCATAATCTACATATATACGGAGTTATATGAAACAATGACCAAATATTGCAATACCAGCAAGAAGGGTGACCATCTTCTCATCCCAGCAACAAGTGGTTAATGAAAAGTTTTCTTTAAAAGCCAGTTGTAAGATTTATAGGCATGTACCTTTGATATCCCATAGATTTGGAAATTTTATATGTTTGAATGCTTAAGAAAGCCAATAAGAGTAGTGTACTTAGGAGTAAATAAATGTCGGAACCTGATGAGAATGCTTGGAATACGAAAAAGGTCCTCGAGCAACTGCAAGAAACAATTGGCACATATTCAACATACAATGTAGTGAAACACGAATGTGAAATTAGTCTAATAGCAACGGAACCCCAGAAATGTACAATCTCTGAGTAGTATGATCCTGTGAATCCTGTTCAGTGGCTCAAGTCCTCCCCACCTTGATGTCGTAATGTAGTCTATCACATCATTGTTATTAAGAGGATACATGTACTTATGACCGACTAGGTTGATTTAAGGTTGACTTATTCATAGACAGAAAGAAGCATTGTGATTGTCCAAGTGAGTAAATAATCGAGGGGAGAAATGGCGTATTTCTTTTTTCTTTTCTGCAAGGACCACGAAAACACACTAACCATTAACTTACAAGCAGAAAAATTCATAAGCTATCTCAAATGGAACACAGCAAAATTATGTACCAAAATGATGCATTCTTTGCATATTGTCATATCATCACATGCAAGTGTAAATATTAGCAATGAATGGCCTTGTTTGTGTGGCAAATGCATTTTGGCCCACTTTTTATTTGGCTTTCAGCTGATTAATGTGGTCAGGCAGCTTGAGAAAGCAGTCAACAAAACCGCAATTTAGATAGGACAAGAAAAATGGTCTCAAGAAAACCAAGCTACTATGTCATGTTGACTCGACCTACATTCCTCCACTAAATGTAAATGCTATTCATAATCATGATATAGCCAACGCATATGCTTTAATACATTCACTTGAATTCACAGCATTTACTTGAGGGATAGGAAACATTACCAAACAAATGTAAATATTCAATACCTTGTGAAAAATTGCTACATCAACTTGTAAAAGGCCATATGTCATCAAACATGTTCCTCATATACTAAAGAAAATATTGCCTTCATAGCCATATAAACAAATGACAACATACATATACTGATATACATGGCTAATTTTGGTACTACAGTGTCTAGATTGAAAAACAAATACAAAAACAACTCACAATTGGATCCTCCTTCTGCCTGTATTATAGTATTACACGTCGCTTCTGGTGTCTTAGAGATCCTGAGACTCTGAGTCACTTACATTGTACCCTATAAGAAGACAGATATAAGCAATGATGAACTTCAAAATCTAAGCTGAAATTTGGTACAAGACAAACCTGGCTGTTTATTGCTAACTTTCCAAGCAGAAGACCTTCCTTTGGAAGCTATATTAATCCAATTACGTCCCTGGATTACATGTGTAAAGCAAGTTATTGGTCACACTACTAGATGCTATAACACATTTTTCACCTTTTATCTAAAATCTTAAGCACTAAAACAGTCGGCGCTAACAAGATTTTCTGAACGAAGCAGAGGTGTATGTATCACACATACAAAGCACACTTTTTTGCAAATATGCTGATAAGCAGATCTAGAAAAGGAAGAATGATGTGAGGGGTGTACCTCACACTCCTCCTGGTTAACATAGCACAAGAGAGGTTCGTGTAAAATCTGTAAATGGCATGCTAAGTGAAAAAACCATACCAACATAAGTTAGCATACTGATCTAAGTACCTTGAAGTTTTAGGCTTCTTTCAGAATTTTAAATTGTCAGAACAGATAAGCTCACACCTTTGGAGTAACACACTAACACCCACCTTCCATATGACTCCCTCCACGCATAAAGGAAAGGGGGGGCCTTAAGGTAGAACAAAGGCGCAAAAAAAACTCTGTAGCATTGTAGCATAGACTGTAGAAAGTGTGATAAAAGCATTTTCCCTTCATATACATAAAACCAATATGATTCTTGATTTAGCCTAGCATTAAATGGAACTTTGCAATGACAAGTTCTAATCCTTCTAGCAACCAACTTTGAGCTAGTTCTCTTGCTTTCCAAGAGAAAATCTACAAACTCCTGTCCCATTTCTATTCCCCAAATAGCCTGTCTAGGAAAAATCCTATTCCATATCAATCCCTATATCACTTAAATTCAGCCAAACAACTCATCTTACAACCAAAGAGGAAAGCTAAGACAACCAGCACATCACAAACAAGAAAGCTTCTTTTTTTAAGCTAGTATGGGCTTAATGAATATTGCTTGCAAACCATAATACAATATAAATTTTCCAACTCAAACATCAAAATCCAACTTAAACACATAGACACAACCAATCAACCATATATGGTCTACATTCCTTCCAAAGTCTATGTCAATATCCAATTTTCAAACTATTAAGTATCAATCCACATAATTCCATAACCAAAAAACAAACATGTTCACAATTGACAAATCAAAATCATACTATTATTGCATCACATTTTCCGAACATGCCTACATTAACATCCAAGATCAATCAATCCGGCACACATGAATAATAAAACCGCTAACTAACTCAATAATAATTGTAATAAAACAACAACATACACTGTAATATCAATTTCCCACAAAATTCAATTACATAAAAAAAAAAAAAAAAAAAAAAAAAAAAAAAAAACAAGTATTCCCAATTTCCAATTACCTTCTCAGTATCCTTTCGAACACCATAACCACTGTTATACATCTGACCCACCAAAACCTGCATTGTAGCATCCCCATTTTTAGCCTCCTTAAGAGTGTCTTGAAACCAGCGCCTCGCACAATCCACGACAACCTCCGACAAAGGAATCCGAGTTCGACTCACTGAGTTATTCTCCATTTTCAAGCCGAGTTTAGCCGAGTCAACTCGGGGTTGTGACTCTGACATTGAGACAGATGTTTTGCTGTGATTTGGTGATCTGGGTTTGACTTGTTTTGGAGGGGTGATTCTTTCAGATGTTATAATTCTGGCAAAATTCTTTAATCCTGCTGTTGAAGGTAGTGATTTACCCATTTGGAGGAGAGAGAAAATGAATCAATTAAGGGAAGATTATGATTAAAGATATGATTTTTATGGGAATAATGGGAGATTAATTAGTGTAATTATAATGGGGTGTAATGTTATCTGGTTTTCATGGTGGAAAGATTTGGTCTTTTGAAGGTTTGTTGAATGAGATGATAGAATTTTGCAGGAATTTCATTGAGGTGCGAGTGTAAGTGCGAGTCGATTTGGTTTGACTCAGTGAGTTGAAAAATCGGCCCAAATCAATTGGGCTTATTTATTACTTCAAGGAATTTGGACATTGTAGGCCCAATTTAGAAAGTTGGTTTGGTCTAGATTGTGGGTAATAAGAACATAAAGTTACTGTAGGATATATGCATATTTTCTAGTTGATTGATTGGAAAAATTGGCAAATCATGTTTATGTTAATGTTTGATAATAATAATAATAATAATAAACATGTTGTTTGATAATTCGATTGGGATTATCATATTTGTCTTCTAAAATTAATTTATTCCGTATTTGTTTATAATAATAATTAAAAAAAATGCACTATAATTATTGGATTGATTAAGCACAGTTTGAATGGGGTTAGTAACAATTTGGATTGAGATCAATTTATATAATTTCTTATGTTTGAGGTGCATTTTGAGTAAGACAATATTGGAAGTCTATCGGTTAAATAAGTATATAAATTACTTTATAAAGAAAGTGTGTCAAGTAAATAAAGACAAAAGGAATACAAATGTCTGGTAACAATATTCTTTAGAAAATACCAATTGGGTGTTGGTGTAGTGGTGATTGGGACTACACTTGGTAGGGAGGAACTGTGTTCGATCCCCCGCAACAACAATTGAGAGGAGACTGGAACCTAACCACCCAGAACTGATCCCCGAATTCGGATTAGCCCAAAAAGAGTGAACCGGGTAGAACATAAAAAAAAAACAATATTCTTTAGAAAATGCCTACAATTCTACAAATGATTTTAGATGATTTTAGATTGAGACAAGTTGTCTCATGTTTGGATCAAGAATGGGCTTGTTATTATAATATATAATTATATAAACTATTTATACATCATTATTTTTAAGTTAGACTAAGTGGGACTGTTTATGACACATAATTTCAAGTTGAATCTAGATTTTGGGTTGGATTATAAAATGTCTATCTAGTCGGTTTTACCACATATATGTAATAATTTTAAACTGGATATGTATGACTGAAACCTCCAAAATTTCTCAAACAGTGTGGATATACCTTTAATTTTGGAATTCATTGACTTTTTTTTCACCCGAAAATAAAATTTGGCGAAATATTTACAATGATCCCTAATACCCTCTGGTAGTCCAATTCGCTGGGTGGAACCATCCAATTTATCTTTAAACGACCAAATTACCAGTTTACAACTTCCACCGATTTCATTAATTGAAGCCTACCACGAACATTTATGACAACAAATAATGATCATAAATTGTTTCAAACGACATTATATAACCTAATATGTATTCCTTAGAATTTCAAGACTTTTCGAACCGGGTCTCGAAGACTCCAAAAATTTTCAAAAAGTGTGGATAATAGCCTTCAATTTTTAAATTTTTTGACTTTTTCGCCTGTAAATAAAAAATTCTGAAATGTTTACCATGGTCTCTAATATCCAGCGGGAGTCCGATTGGGTGGGTTGATCCGTCCTCGTCATCCGACGCACGGCGCACAATGGAAGATATTAAAGAGTTGAGGAAGAAAAAAAATTATCAATTGGGTCACAACTGGCTATTCCACTTAGGATTTTCCCATCGGTAAGGAATCACCTTGTTAGAGACAAGGAAATAACCCGAGTTATTACCTTTTATAGTTAGTCAGGAATTTGCAGACACATTGAAGGAAAATTGAGTTTGATCTTATAGCCGGGATCACCATCTAAAGTGAAAATTTCAAGAAGGTTTCGAGGATGAGTACCTAAGTTGAAGTTCCAAACTCTGCAAGATTGTCTTCCCAGTAGCATTTGAAAGAAGAATAAGATTTCCAATATCTAAAAGCTGAGCTACTATGCACATCAACGTGCATTGATGGCAACAATGAGTGTGAAGGATGTTCCAAACTCTGCTAGATTGTCTCCCGAATACCATTTGAAAGCAGAAATCTAAAAGTTGTGAAGGATGTTCCAAACTCTGCTAGATTGTCTCCCCAATTGCATTTCAAAGCAGAATATCTAAAATCTGAGCTACTGAATTATTTTCCTGATCATTAGATATATTTGATGACCAAAAGATATTGTTTTGTTCTTATAGGGCATGAAGATTACTATCCTCGGAAACTTTGAGCACCCTAAAATAAGTATTGCGTAGGGTCCCTCTATGAACGTTCACTAGGCGTGGGGTCCCTCTGTAAGCGCGGGGTCTCCTTGGGCGTTGGCCCCGCCCCTATATAAGCGTGGTGTCCCTCGGGCATGGGGTCCTCCCTAAGGTGTGGGGCTTATTAGTTGGGCGTGGGGTCGGTTGGTTGGGCGTGGGGTTGGTTTGTTGGCGTGGGGTTGGTCCTAGGGCGTGGGGTTAGTTCGTTTAGGGTTTCTCCTTGGGCGTGGGGTTCTTCCTTAGCTTGGGCGTGGGGTTTCAAGATGGGCGTGGGGTTTCTTCCTTGGGAGTGGGGTTCTTCCTTGGTCGTGATGTCCCTCTTTAAGAGTGGGTTTTGAGCTTAGGCGTGGGGTTTTAGGATGGGCGTAGGGTTGATGCATTAGGCGTGGGGTTATTCCTTGGGCGTGAGGTTTGAGTTTAGGCGTGGGGTCCCTCTTAGGCGTGGGGTTCTTCCTTGGGCGTGGGATACTCTCTTTAGGCTTGGGTTTTGAGTAACGGCGTGGGGTTTCTTCCTAGGGCGTGGGGTTGGAGTTCGGGTGTGGGGTTTCATCTTGGGCGTGGAGTTTGAGCTTGGGCGTGGGGTTTGACCTTGGGCGTGGAGTTTCTTCATTGGGCGTGGGGTTTCTTTTTAGGGCGTGGGGTTTTTCATTGGGCGTGGGGTTGATACAGTAGGTGTGGGGTTTGAGTTTTGGGCGTAGGGTTGATATAGAAGGCGTAGGGTTTCTCCTAGGGCGTGGGGTTTCATGATGGGTGTGGGGTTCTTCCTTGGGCGTGGGGTTTCTTCCTATGGCGTGGGGTGAGCTTCGGCGTGGGGTTTGAGTTTTGGGCGTAGGGTTGATACATTAGGCGTGGGGTTTCTCCTAGGGCGTAGGGATTGAGCTTCGGCGTGGGGTTTCTCTTAGGGCGTGGGTTTCATCTTGGGCGTGGGGTTTGACCTTGGGCGTGGGGTTTCTTCATTAGGGTGGGGTTTCTTTCTAGGGCGTGGGGTTCTTCATTGGGCGTGGGATTGATACAGTAGGCGTGGGGTTTGAGTTTTGGGCGTAGGGCTGATACAATAGGCATGGGGTTTCTCCTAGAATGTGGGGATTCATGATGGGCGTGGGGTTCTTCCTTGGGCGTGGGGTTTAAGCTTCGGCGTGGGGTTTCTCCTAGGGTGTGGGGTTTCATGATGGGCGTGGGTTTCTTCCTTGGGCGTTGGGTTTCTTCCTTGGGTGTGGGCAAGGGGCCGTGTGGCGCATGCGTCGCCTGGTTGAAAAGCCAGTGGTGCGAAACTACCGTGTGCTGGATTATGACTAAACGCCTCTAAGTCAAAATCCGGGCCAGAAGCGACGCATGCGCCCATCGTCCGATGCCGTCCTATAGTAGGGGTTTCGGCACGTGTCGTAGGCTATGCTCGCGCGGTGGATACTGAGATTCAACCCTATGTCACTTCGATTCGTCCCTCCCTCCACCCTATTCCCTAAAAAACACCTATATTTTAGAAAACGAGGTTAGCGATGCATCTCGTATGCTAAAAAAATGCTAAGTACAGGATTAAGAGGTGTCAAAAAGCCTAAGTGTTGGGATGTTGGATGGTACAAGTGGGCAAGGGGCCGTGTGGCATGTGCATAAGACATGTGCACCCAAGGACAAGGCATACAGGGTTCTAAGCACTATTTACGACTCCCAAGGCCCTTAAGACATGAAGTTTAAGGATGAATTAGATGGTTCCGAACACTGTTTATGACTCCCAAGGGCCTTTGGAAACCCAAGGAAGTACTTAGATGCATAATCTCGCCGGGTGAAAAATGATATACGGAAGCCAAATATGAAGGCTATAAAACACGAAATCGGAACAATTTATGATGTGTCGGGACCTGGTGTGGCAATTTCACGGAACATTACAGGATGCATCCCGAGGACATATAATATTGTTTTGACTCATAAATGACCATTATTCGACTACGTACAAGCCCCGTGAAAACTTATAGCCAGTACAGGAGGAGTGTACGAAAACGTGTAAATTGATCGTTTTAAGGCAAATTAGATGGTTCCACCCACCCAATTGGACTCTCGGAGGGTATTAGGGACCATTAAAAACATCTCGGTAATTTTTATTTTCAGGCGAAAAAATGTCAAAATTTTCAAAAATTGAAAGCTATTATCCACGCTTTTTAAGGAATTTTTGAGGTTACAGGGCCCGGTGTCAAAAAGTGTTGAGACCCTAGAGGATACATCTTAGGATCATATAATGCCGTTTGAAACCATATATAACCATTAAATGATGTCATAAATGTCCGTGGTAGGCTTGAGTTCACAAAATCGGTGTAAGTTGCGAATTAATAAATTGACCGTTTTAAGGCAAATTGGATGGTTCCACCCACTCAATTGGACTTCCGGAGGGTATTAGGGACCATGGTAAACAACTCGGCAATTTTTATTTCCGACAAAAAAAGTCAAAAAATTCCAACATTGAAGGCTATTATCCACACGCTTTTTGAGAAATTTTTGAGGTTACGGGGCCCGGTGGCAAAAAGTATTAAGACCCTAGGCGATACATCTTAGGATCATATAGTGCCGTTTGGAACCATATATGACCATTATATATTGTCATAAATGTCCGTGGTAGGCTTGAGTTCACAAAATCGGTGCAAGTTGCGAATTGCTAAATTGATCGTTTTAAGGAAAATTGGATGGTTCCACCCACCTAATTGGACTCCCAGATGGTATTAGGGACCATGGTAAACATCTCGACAATTTTTATTTTCGGGCGAAAAAAGGTCAAAAAAATTCCAAAATTGAAGGCTTATCCACGCTTTTTGAGGAATTTTTGAGGTTAAGGGGCCCGGTGGCGAAAAGTGTTAAGACAATAGGAAATACATCTTAGGGTCATATAAT